CTGCCCCTCGCCCCTTCCTTTACCCCAGACCCACAGACAGCACGGGATGCCAGCCTGACTGCTTAGGACCGCTCGACTGGCATCCTGAATTGCTACCCGTGCTTTTTTAATTGTTGGGCCCAACACTTTTGAGTTTCACAGTATTGTCATTAAAGAAGAGCTTGTTTTGTTCGAGAAAGGTGCCCTTTGTGATATTTGGATGAGTTTTTCTATTACGACCTTATGGAAGTGGTCAGTGTCATGCCGAGTGTATGAGAGGGAAACGGGAATCCGAGAAGGGTGGTAGAGTAGCTAATGGAGCTCTACTTTGGCAGGTCTAGCCCACCCACCTCCACCCCACCTCCTCATTCCATACACATCACTACGGGCCTGCAAACAGGACTGCCTTTGTTAGTTTTAATTTTGTTGATTTGTTGTAAAACTAACGTTAAAGTGCTATGGTACCTAACGAATAAGAAAACTTGCAAGTCAGGCATAACAAGAGAAGCAGGTTCGTGCTCCTCCTCTTTGGCCAACTCTATTCTTAACCCAAAAATAAATAAATAAATAAATCTGTTATTCTCTGCCTTCCAATGACGGCAAAGCCAAACGCTGTCTTGACAAAGGGACATGATCTCTCAGAGAATTTAAAAGAGTCAAGGGCTTTGAGGTTCCCAGGGAAGAAACCCCGCCTGATGATGTGAGGATGGCAAGCAACATTTTTGCACACAAAATTATTAAAAAAACAACACATGGAAATATTTCAGCTCCAGGGTAGAAATGGGCCAAGCTTCCTTGCTCCTAGACTTGAGTAGAGGAAATCTGCTTCTGAACAAAAGACAAGAGAACTGGTACAGTAGCAATTCAAAGGTTGGGTTTTCTTCAATTGTAGCTCCCAAAGGCTGGCAAATCTGTGATCCTCTAGGGAAAGAGAGCTTTATTTAAAAAGAATGAGTAATGAATTGTCTTCCCATTTATTGAAATGTTCCAAAAATAAGAAATAAGTTGTCAGATAAATAAGAAGATCATACAAGAAAATATGTATGTTGGAAGGTGGCCAGCCAAAGAACATGCCTCTCTTTCTCCCTAGTGAAAAAGGTCTTCACTTACAGTTTTGCTTCCATTATAACAAGAGGATGCTTTTCATCCAGGTTTCCCTGAAGAGCTGTGCCAAGCCTGGTTCACTCTTCATACAGAGCCACTTGCTATGAGTTTATTATTGTTACTGCTGACGAAGAGATGAAAGAATTAAACAGGAGATGCTTCCAGGCATTTCGGAAGACACTGGGCAGCCATATTAACTCCTTATTAAGCCTAAAAATAGTCTGCCATTTCCTGTTGATGCTCAGTCCCTGCCACTCCAGAGCTGCGCTTACCCTTCCTTGGTCAGGGGTCCTGTTTTTCAAAGGCAGTAAATGAAAGCTGAGTTCTAACGCTCCTTCCCAGCTTCATTTGCTCTGCTTCACTTCCCAGCAGGGCAAATATGGGGCTGAGAGGTCGGCCTTGGTTCAGACTACATACTGAAAATACAAACATTTGCATTTACCGTGTTTACAACTTAACTGTTTAAGTAAAGCATTATAGAGTTCTTCCATCCTCTTCTCCCTTGGGCTGAGGAAAAGCATGTTTATGTATTAGGAATTGGGGTTCAATGTTTGCTGAAAGAGACTGAAAGAGAATGAAGGGATAGAGGAAGAGAAAGAAAAGAAAGGTAGGCAAACAGGTTTTCATGCACAACCCCAAAACCAAGAGGTGGAGAACAAAACTATTCTCTACCTTGTTGTTGGTCAGTTCTCTCCAGGAAGAAAGTTTTGAGTGCAACACATCAAGAAATGAGCCAGGGAGCTGCGAGATGACATTGAGTTTGAGGGCCAAGTTAAGACCAAAGAAATGTCAGGTTTTAAAAGGCTACCACAGAAGCCTCTAGGTTGAGACTGCTTAGCTGATATTCTTCAGCCAGACACTTTTGAAAACCCTGATGAAACTTCCTGGAGATCAGTCCCGGGTTGTGGTTTCCCAGGTGCCCATTCTTGGAACCCAGGAAAGGTATATGCCCCCAAACTTTAAGGACTCTTCCTTCTGGGCATATAATAGACAAGCCCACTTCTAAGCTCAGTATAGGGGAACCTTGGAGAGGAAGATATTAACATAGGCACTTCATTTTTATCGCTAGAGAAAAAACCAACAAAGTCTCAGCATTTTCTTGACTAGGTTGGTCCTTTGGGTTACCCCTGAAGGTACCATCATTAGCCTGGGTCAACAAATGGGGAGGGGGGGTTCTCTTCTTCCCTGGAGCTTTTACGGGTGCGTGTGTTGGGGGAGGGAAGAAGGTTCCTGGGCTGTAGAGTATCAGGCACCCTTTCCTTACATACACATACCATTCACTCACACATACACACACACACAAACAAACATGCACACAAAAAAAAAGAGACAGAGAAAGAGAGAAAGAGAGAGAGAGAGAGAGAGAGAGAGAGAGAGAGAGAGAGAGAGAGAATTTTATGTTGAATGAGGAAAAGAACGAGCAGGAAATTTTTTTCAATGTCTCCTATTGAGAAGGGGGTTCTTAATGTGGCTATGTAAATCAACACCGAGTTATTTCTTTGAATTCAAAGGCCATTTATCCAGGTCTAATTTCTTTAGAAACAACGTGATAACTGAGCCCAACTTAGCAACCAAACCCAGCCAAGTCCTGGATGGTTTGAATGTACTGCCACAGCCCCCACCAACTGCAAACCTTTCTGGGAGATCCAGGCATTCTCGGTCCCGCACGTGTATGCAAACATACTCCAGAACTAAACTGGGGCAATTCTCAGACCCAGTGAGCCCACTCCTACACACCCACCCCTGCAAGATAAAAGCGGGAGGTGTTCAGAGGGCAGCGCGCTAGTTTTTCTTTCTACTTAATATGGACATCAGCGATATAAGTAGCGATATAAAATATCAACACCTCAACATCTGAAAAAGTGAACTGCAGTTTAGGCCTCCAATTCCCCCTTTTTAAAACTTTAATGAATATGATTCTTATCTTACAGTAACAGGCCCTAAAAAAAAAAAAACCCCGCTTAGGCCTCCAGATTTCTAAGTTTACTTGTATTTTGAATGATAAAGGGTTCGTGGCCCTACTAGCCCTTCTTCCCCTCCCACTGGCAAGAGTTGGCGAGGTTCCCCAGAGGGCTAAACAAAGAGGGAAAAGCCTGGACTGCGCGGGAGGCGCCGGGGTCGAGAGCCCCTGAGGAGTGCGACTTTTTTTTTTTTTTCAAAGCTCTGAAAAGCCCCAAGTTTTGCCTCTAGTCAAAGGGCTGGAGCAGATTGCACTACTGTAAAGTAGGGCTAACTTCCAGTGCCCGCTTAGCAGTTTATCTAAGCTGCCCCAGACACCAGGTGAGGACTAGGAAAAGAACTGCCCAACTTCAGTTGGAGCAACGCGACTTGGGCTCCAGAAAGTCTGTGTGAAGAACGTTGGTGGCAGAGGCCACACTGTGGCAGGCACTAGCCGCCCACCCTTGGGCCACAGGAGTCTGTAGTCCTCTATTCCCTGAACTGGTGGAAAGTGGAATGGCCAGTCCTACTATTCTACCCCGAATGAGCTCACCGAGACCGCAGCCCAGTTTGGTGAGACCCCTTGCTGACTGCCCTCGCCGAGCCGAGCCTGGGTCACCCAACAAACCTCAACAAAAACTACACCATACACAACTAATCCTCTAGATGCACACTTGCACCCCAGAAACAGAATGAAGGGATTTTATTCTCTACCAACGAAGGCAGGGATAAGTGCCCAAACAGGACGCGAGAAGAGACAACTCCAGGCTGCCTGGCTTCCTCACACTTTAAACAAACCAGGGGGAAATCCCTTTGCAAACAGACGCTGAGCGCCTAGGATCTGGAGCTTAAGGGGTGAGAGGACATTTCCCGGCCCCACCACCTTCATCCCGCTCCAGAAACTATCTGAGTTGCAGGGAGTCAACCGGCAAAGCACTGCACCTGCGCGCGTTAAGGAGAGACACAGAAAGGCGAACCGGAGAAACGCCTTCATCGTGTTAACAGCAAGCTGCAGGGTAAAGAGTAATAAAACTGCCATGTCTACCTGCTGGCTTTGAGGACATTACGAGCTGGGCGCACAGCCCGGGTGCACCACCAGCGGTGGGGAGGGGGTGTGTGCTTCTCTTTCCTTGACTTCCCTTTCTGCACCTCAGTGCATCTTTCATTTTCCTAGATGTTGTTTTAATTCACTGACGATATGTAAACGCATGGATCGCGTTACAGGTTCGCGTGTTAAGCTGCTCCTCCTGTTAAAAGGAAAGGAACGAGAAATGCCACTTAAAAATGAATTCAGAGTTACTGAACCGGCTCCCGGAACTCAAGAAGTTAAGCGTAGCGGGCTGGTCAAAGGAAGACCGAGCAAATGTAGCTGCCCGCAAAACTATGGAGAAAACTGGCGGACTACGAGCCTCGACTCCTTTAGTAAAATTAAAGAAAAAAAGAATAGAAAAGAAAAAAGAAAAAGGCAAACTTGCCCGCGGGCGCTTGGAGACCCCGGGCGGGTGACTAGAAAAATCAATTAGCATAAGCTGCAGTAGGCTACTCCCGCGCAACCTGGAAACTGAGCGGTTCGGTCTGCTACCATCCTTTTCTGGAATTCCAGTAGCAAGCAGCGCCACTAAAATTTCTATTTTAGGGTTCTTGGGGTCGTGTAGCTTATGGGCTAAAGACGGAGTAAGGTGCAAAGATGTACCAGTAGTTTTTCCAAAAAGACGACTCTCGTTCTTCCATCCTTCAGACATGCCTACACAGGGTGGCTACATTTCTCCTTATAACCAAAAACTTGCAGCTAGTTCCCAGAGCCCACCGAAAGTGGGCACCGAGCCCGAGGGGTAAGGTGGGGTCCTCAGATTTTGCCCACTCAAACTAAGTCGTCTCATCGCCTGGGTTCCCGGAGCCTATCTGCGGTCCCCGGGCCGGACCCCGGTGCGGCCTGGCTTGCCCTTCCCCGAGTCTAGAGTTGGATCGGGTTCTCCTAC